TGAAAGGTTATTTATTTATTTTGTTAACATTACTGGCTCGCTATTTTTTGTTTTATTCATTTATATTTTCTCTATTATTTCACATTGGCAATAACGCTTTGCTCAGATTGACTACAAAAGTATTTAGACATCGCAAATTGTTAATATGATCGAGTTTGCCAACCTACTCCCTTCGACTGACCCTCCCTTTGAATCCCATTGGCTGATGCAGTTTCAGGATCGACCAGCTGTTTCTTGTTTTCCCATAGCGCGATTGGTCCGAGCGACCTGTCGATCAAAGGGACTTTGACAGATGACTCCGCCCTCATCACCGCTACCCGAATACTGATAGGCTACTGTACCCTTTCGTGAACGCTGATTGGCTGAGGGCGCTGGTTGTCAAGGCTTAGTGCTTCATTCACCATTTTGCGACTGTAGAGTACCCTGGAACCTCAACGGCTGGACTTTTTCTCATTTGCGGAAGAAAAACACTCTTTGCAAAAGCATTCTCGGGGATTCCGGGGTTTATAGGCTTGGTTTTCGCATCGACACCATTTCGACGGCACTGTAAATGTTCACGGGGTGAGTTGAAACCTTTCATCTGTAGTACTGCAGTGTTCTGCCTATATATTTAATGCTGTGTTTTGCCTTTACGTCGCGGATCCATCTACAATGTTTCGCCGTCAGTTGTTTAATTTTTCTTAGTGGATTGTATAAAATGGCGGAGTAAGCTTTTAACATACACACACACACACATTGAAAGGGAGGGGTGGAGGTGCACAGTCAGCCTAAAAACTTTTTTTCCTGAAAATATTTGTGTGACACAACAGCTACAGCGTCAACAAACTGCTTTCGTGTATTCCTTTACCTTTCAGAACCTGTCACTGCTTATATCCATCGTTTTTTTACGTAAAGATAACGGGATTATTTTGTTCCTTAAACTTGACTATATTATAATAATATGTTTTCAGTTGCATTCAGTAAATTTAATAAGGATGTTTTCATATTTATACCCTATAGGCGCATATATTTGAAAAGGATTGTTTGTTTTTTCTCATATTTAATAATATGGGTACCGTCGCCCTCGATTCAGGAGCCTTAGGGAGACGGGAAACTGCTCTGCGGCCTTGTGTTATGGAGGAGGCCTACACCACTCGACTGTGTCGTAGGTGGTTGTAAGCGTAGAGTAGGGCACTACGACCAATAAAAGCGCTTGACACAGATACGGCGGTGTACTACTCAGCAAAACTTTCGCAAGTCGACGACAGCAGCACCATTGTTGATGGCAAACAGGGCTTTTACTTTGTTTCAGGACATTTGTGTTTATTTGGAGTCTTGCTGTTGCATGGGGACATTTATTATTGTGCATTTGGCGAGTCATTATAAGATTGAGTTGTTATAATTACTTGAAGGGTCAGTGAGTGCAGTGGGCAGGCCGAGAAAGTTAAATAGCTATTTAGTGCATTGCATATAAACGTAATTTTTTTTTGCCAGTTCATAACGGTTTTTTTTAAATGTCATTAATTTATGTATTTCACAGACGTTTTGTCCATAGTGACTCATATAGCATTCAAAGTGTACATTTTACCACTTCATTCATTCCCTGGGAATCAAACCCATAACCTTGATGTTGCTGGTGTCATGCTCTATGGGTTGAGTTACAAAATCATTAGTTATATACATTTCCTATATGAAGCGGGTCGCCACCTTATGGGCGTTGCCATGTTGACATCACATGACACAATGTGTCATGCAGAGTTGACAGTTACTACTACTTATTATATAATTATAAAACATAAAAAATATTTGATAAAATAAATTATTTGATAAAATATTGAGTATCTTTATTGTATAAACATGGCATTAAAAAAAAAAAAAAAAAAGCACAAATATAACCATAGAGATGGTATGTATGAGCAGGCAATCTGCAAGTCCATACAGAATAAAGGCCCGTTCACACCAAGGACGATAACGATAAAGATAACGATAAAGATAAAGTTCTAAAAATCGTTCTCAATATTAAAGAATAGCAGAGTCCACACCACAACTATAACGATAAAGACAAAGAGAAACGATATCGTTGGAATCACTTTCAAAACGATTTTTCTCCAGCTGATTAACGATAAAAAAATTGAGAGCCAGTCAGAGTCCATCCTGCTGTAACGAGCTCAAAAATTTAAAGCAGCAGACGCGCGTGCGCTTAGAATAAACAGACGATATCGTTCGCTGGTGTGGACGCTAATATCGTTATTGTTATAGTTATCTTTATAGTTATCGTTCTTGGTGTGAACGGGGCTTAAGGACGCAATGAGTAAAAAAAGTGATGTCAATATAAAATCCGAACCGGTGGTACTATTGGTATAAAAACTGAGTGCCCTTTTAAATAGAACCGTTCATTATTTACACTTTGTGTTATCTTATATGCACTGGAATAGTTTATTGACCCAAAAATTTTACTCACCTACATGACCAAGCAATAAAAGTCATAGCAGGTCTTAGTAAACTATTTTATGATGGAATTTTCTTACTGAAGGTTATATACAGCATATCTTAGATTTGCATAGTGCCTGCAAACTTGTCTTACAGTGCAAATGGCAGTGTGGTTACTGTGGTTTCTGCTCACAAGAATGGACAGTTTTGCATTGCGGACCTAAAACGATCTGTTCCATCTTCATCAATTCCAGCATGCATTGGCTTATCAAAAGAGGTCATTCATGTTCTGACCTTTAATCATAGTATATATTAGATGCACATCCATAATTTAATTAAAAATCAGTCAGTCATATTTTATAGTCATAAACCCTGCATGCAGTTTTTGGAGATATTCAAAGCTTAAATTATTTTCATTTGACTATACTGAATTATTTGTAATCTGTAGGGTGTATTTAAACTGGGTTGTAGAAAGTGTATCCAAGAGTCTAAATATATTTATGCAAACATTAATGTTGATAACATATCTGTGGGTTTTAAATGGGCTTTAAACAGAAGTCTGGATGGTGGAGAAAAGGGAGTTTTGGTAGGAAGAAAGAATGCGTAAGTAGTAATGTGTAAGGATGGTATTGTATATTGAGATGTTGTAGTGCTGTGACAGGAAGTGAGGACTGTAGGGGTGGATTGCCTCTGTAACGAATGCAAAAAGGTCATTTGAAAGAGCGAGCGAGAGAGAGCCTTAGAGTCACAGAAATACCACTGAACAAGGAATTCCCCCGCCTCTGATCCAGCCAAAAAACCAAAGTGAGTGTGTGACTTGTCTGGGCAAGCATTTTTCTTTGTGTTCTGTCGTTGTCAAGTTTTCTTGTATTAAGTTGTGTTATATCCACTTTTTAAGGCTACGTTATATAAATTCACACTTATGAAGATGTTTTGATGAGATTAGGCACTAAACTTAAAACTTTATTTTGTACCTTGTTTATTTTGTAACTTTATAACTTGTTTTTGGTTGTATATTCTGTTTTCTATACTCCCAATTCTCTATATGAGAATTGTAGTGCTGTATTACAAACTGATCCATCTCATGTGTTTCATTGCAGGCTCTAATTTAAGAAGGAAAGGACAGCGCAAACAGGAAGAGGCTTGGACAAGAACAGAAGAAAAAGAGAAGGGGCGGGATGCAAGAGGGAAACCGAGTGGAAGATATTGATAGGCTGGGACTCGCAGGAAATCAGGAGGATTAGAGACTCTCTTAGAGCAAGACAAGATGAAGCCCATTAAAAAGCAAGAAAGGCGGTCGCCCCCATCCACTCGCGCCAAGGGAGTTAAGAGGAGGACAGCGGACAGTAGCCCACAGGAAGAGAAGAGAGAAACAGAGGAAAAACCCCAAATTTCACCTACCTCTCCCAAGAGACATATCTCCTCAAATTCTGACTCATCACAGGAAGGGCCACTGAGAAGAAGCGGGTCTCCGGAAAAGGAGGGGGTCCTCAGTATAGCAGTGGATTTCGGGAAGACAGAGGAATGCCCCGGAAGCTCTAAGTCTGGCGGAACACAGAGTGACAGCAACAGTAGCACGATCAGCGCCAGCAACAGCCCCAACACTTCTAGTCGCAAGACGGCCACTTTTAAGGCCCGTGTGCCTAAGAAGAAGTACACCTCGGAGCACTGTGCTGGAAACCATGGCAACGGCAGCACTCCCAGCACACCCCCACAGAGCAGCAGCAGCTCTCATAACGGAAGTGGTGCTAGTCAGGGCCCAGCTGCCTCTGCTGCACACACGGCCCTACACGGTCAAAGCCAGCTGACTGAGGACAGCATCACTGGGTACGGACACAACAATGTAACTGGGCCTACAGGTAGAACTGCAGGTGAGTGCGGAGAGAGGGACAGGCCGAGCGCATCCAGCCCACAGCGTTGCTCCTCAACCGACACAGCCAGCGAACACTCGGCTGACCTAGACGTGACAGCTTCAAGACGTGATTCTCACTTCAACTCCCAAAAGCCACAAGCACATAGCGCTTTGACATCCATGCAGGAGAGCCTGTCATCTGGTCTAGCCGGCGTCCTCGCCAAAGGTCTCAAAAATCAGAGAGTTCTGGCCCGACAGGGTCCCAGATTAGGGGAAGGCTGGCCTCACGATCGGGGCCGGGAAATGTCTGATGTGTTTCGCACTGGAGTTGTGCGGAGAGTTAGCGAGGAGCATGGGATTGTGGAGGTGCAACTAAATGGAGAAAAGACCATATGCAAGTACCCATTTCGAGTGGCTATTGATTCTGTTGACCTTATTCTAGATGCGTCACCTCCCGGTGTGGCCCCGGTGGCTATAGGCACACAAGTCTGCATCCCCTTCGGAGGAGGTGACGAGGGCAGTGAGGGAGCGCAACCGTGGTACAGAGAAGGTATAGTCACTCAAGTAGATCCACATCCAGCTGTGTCTTTCCCATACCGTGTTCAGCTAAGGGAAGATCGGTCTGATGAGAGAAAGGAGAGGAGAGGTGTGGAAGATGACGGAAGGGCTCAGGCCATTTGGGTCTCACGACAAAATCTCCGCCTCCTGGTTCCTCCTTGGGACTTAGAGCCGCCCCAGCCAGCAGAGCCAGGGATTGATGGTAGGAGGGTAAGAGAACGAGAGTGGGAGGAAAGAGAGGACATGGAAGTGGAGCAGGAGGTGGTTCAACTGACTAGACCAACGTTTGTTCAGAGTTTGCTGCAACCTTACCCCTCACCCCATTCTTCGTCTTCTGTCGTTAACACTGCCATCACATCTGTATTCAGTGTGGCCCCAAACAGAGACTGGGAAAATCACAGAGAGAAGGATCAGGAAAGAGACTTGCATAGGCACTTAGAGAGAGAAAGGGAACGAGAACGAGAAAGGGAGAGGGAGAGGCAAAAGCATCATCCTCTTCATTCATCCACCCCAGATGGGGTGGACTTGGAAGTCAGCTGTCTTAGCCAGCTAAGGGATGGTGGCATCACTGCCTTGGGAAGCAAAGCTCTGGGGGCTCCTTCTCAGCATCGGCCCATTCTTTCTAAACCAAACTACCTCAGCCCTCACCTTTCTGTGGTGAGAGGGCTCAGCACCCCAATTGCACCCCACCTGCCCCTGGCTCCTCACCAAAATCACCCCCCTATGCTCCTGGGCCTGGATTCAGCCACAGGTGCGGCAGTCATCTCCTCCACGTCCCAGCTTCCTCCCTTGCCCCCAAGCTCTTCTCGAGGCTCCCTGGACAAGACCCCCAGCTCCAACTCGCATGGTGCATCAGGGGGTGGCTCTGGATCCTCGTCCTCTTCGTCACGTTCCCGCACACCCCTCACGGCCGCTCAACAGAAGTTCAAGAAGGGCGATGTGGTGTGCACCCCTACAGGCATCCGCAAGAAGTTCAACGGAAAGCAGTGGCGCAGACTGTGCTCACGTGAAGGCTGCTCGAAGGAGTCGCAGAGGCGCGGCTACTGCTCTCGGCATCTCTCCATGCGCACCAAAGAGATGGAAGCCGGAGGCGGGGTTGGCCGAGACAGGAGTGGCGCCAGTAGCACTGGCACCCTCACACCTGACCTTCGTTTAGGTGGGCGCACCAGCAGCGAATATGACTGGGACGACAACTCAAGAGACAGCAGTGAAGCCAGCAGCCGTGGCGGGGACTCTCGACCACGTCTGGTGATGACTTCTCTTATACCACAAGAACTGCCACGTGACATGTCGCGCTTTGACTTTGACGAGTGCGAGGCTGCAAATATGCTGGTCTCACTTGGCAGCTCACGCTCGTGCACGCCCTCATTCTCACCTGTATCCAATCAGTCACCGTTCTCACCTGCGCCGTCCCCCTCGCCCACGCTATTTGGCTTCCGCCCAGCTAATTTCAGCCCCATCACAGCACCACTGACCCCTCGCCGCCCTCGCCACCTCAGTGGCACGAAAATCCCTGGCACTCCCAGCGCAGAACGTGAGCGCCACATCTCTGGCATCATCCCCACTTTTCAGACCAACTTGACGTTCACTGTACCCATGAGTCCCAGTAAACGTAAGCTGGATGTCCCTCCACCCCCGCTGCCTAGTGCATCAGACTATGCGAAATCTGATCCCCAATTCAATGACCCCGGCCTCAGCCTCAATACGGCAGCATTCAGGGTTCTATCCCCCCAAAGCCAGCCTACCACCCCCTCATCTCTCTCATTTCCTCGACAGAGGAGTGTCACAAGCCGACCCTCATCCGCTGCCGCTTCCACTCCACCCCCTATGCTGGTTTCTCCCACACCACCCTCACCACTGCCACAGGATCCCAGCTCACGTCGTATCGTTCCCCTACGCGATTCGCCTGTCATTGTTCGTAACCCCGATGTGCCATTGGCAAAATTCAGCGATGGTCCCCTGAGCCGTAGAGCAAGCTCACGCTCTAGGGAGCACAGTCAGCCCCCTCACCATGCCGTGGGCCTCCAGGCCCCTGTGCCCATAAATGGCGCTGCCACCAATGGAGCCGTTCTCCTTCGCAATCCCGCTCCCACCTTAGTCCTGGTGACTTCCTCTCAGTCATTGACGCCTGTGGCTCCTGGACATCCCGCACATTCAAACTCTGCCGCTTTGAATGTGTCCACCTCTAATGCAACCACTGGACCTGCCCTTGCACTATCTGGCTCAGGAGGTAAAGAGCAAGAGAGGAAGTCAGGTGGGCCTGCAGATGCAGGTGGTGCTCTCCCACAGCCTGTGGCTTGCCATCCTTCACCCACTGCTCTGTTGCCCCTCATCCTGCCAGCCGAGTCCCCTCACCCTGCTCCTCGCAAAGACATCATCATGGGACGGCCTGGCACTGGTAAGAAATCTTAAAGACAAATAAAACCAATAAGAACACTAACGTTTGTAAATTATTGATCACCATAGCCACCAACAGTTTAAAGTATGTAAAATAATTTAGGAATGTGAATGTGCTAACTTTATATTATTTGTAAACTACGATTCAAAAGCATTTTTTAAAAGAAATTAATACTTTCATTCATCAAGGATGCATTAAATGAATGATTATCCCTGTAAAAGATTCTCACGTGTCTCTAGAGTTTCAGAGTAAATCTCAAAATGTCACACACTGCTTAGATTTCCCAAAGTAACAAAGTCAATTTCAATGTTCTTTTAAAAATGTAGTATCAAATTCTTCCTAATTATCTAGGCAGTTCTATTCACATTTATCCAAATTAATTTATTGCACAGTTTGTGTATAGTTTTTTACAAAAGAAAATTATAATTTTTTTTTCTGGATTAGTTTGTGCAGGCCAGAATATGTTTTGTAAATTGGAGGACACCAACAAACAAACTGCTGACAAACTGTAAAAATAAGGGGGGCTCAGAGTGACTTTGGTATGCTGGTCAGCAGCAGGTGTGTTTGGGTGTGTGTAGTGAAGAATGCACTGTGCTTTCAGGGTCAGTGTTTCTAAAGACAGTTGCAGCATGTCTGAAATGATACACGGGAACTTGCCCAGACATGCACGGCTAGAGGGTGATTGGACCACCCTGATTCTCTTGAGTACTTAATCTGAGATACACAGATCCCTGGAATGACAGATGCACAGGACAGTTACACACTTTCTTTGTTTCACCAATCACTGATACACAGATATATGTACATGAATGGCTTTCATTCAGGTTCAATCTAAAACAGAAAGGTGCCTTTTCACCAGTTCCCTCTTAAGTGAATAGAAAGGCTGTAGGTTTTCCGAAAGAGTCGTGTGAATATATAGTAGGTTTGTCTGTTTCTGCATTTAGTTTGGACCAATGTGGAGCCCCGCTCTGTGCCAGTGTTTGCGTGGCATTCGTTAGTTCCTTTTCTGGAGACCAGCCAGACAAAAATGTCCATGCAGCCTTCAGATGGCCAAACACTTGTAAATCAGAGCAAAGGTAACATCTGAACACTATAATTTGACATTGCAACATTTTCTTGTATGATACTGCATAGAATATACACAAAATCACATTCAGAATATATGTTTTCTGTTGATGTTTTGAAACTGAATAAACGTGCAGAACCTCGCTGTGGAGTTGCCCTTGTGACTGAGGGACCTACTGACCATCCAGCCCCAGAGAGAGGTTCCCCGTCTTGCCCCCCTCCTATTGCTGAAGACCCACCCGTGGAGAGAGGAGGTGACAGTGAGACCGAGAGTGATGCTGACGACCTGTAAATATCTGTTGCATCTCACCTCTTGACAATGACAGCAAACATTTACATTACAATATTTAAAAAAAATGGCTTTGTAAGGACATGTAATATACACATATTATGGGAAAAATATTTTTATTTAAAAAAAATCACAATAATTGTTATTTTTTTACATTTTGCTTACTGTTTTTTGATGCAATTCTCTTCTTATTTATTTTTTTTGGTTAAAGTTTTTTCCCAGCTCAAGACACTGCTTCATCCACCAGCCCAGTGAAAAGGCGCACACAATCTCTCAGTGCACTCCCAAAAGAAGGTGACAAGAAGGTAAGTTTCGGGTCTGCTATTCGTGTTCTTTTTTTTCAGTTGCCTGGTTTCCTTTGAGTATCACCAGACAGCCCCGCCATCTCACTTTTAGTGAGTGCTGAAAAATTACCCAGAAACTTGTCAAGGGTTTCAGGCTACAGTCGTTTTTGGCCATTGCCATCATACATTTCCCTTTTTATCTTCTGTTGAAAGTGTTATACAAATGTACACTCATTATTTCTCCAATCTCTCTCTCTTCTCTCTCAAACCACAAAGAGGGAAAAGGACCACATCAGACGGCCAATGAATGCATTTATGATCTTTAGTAAGCGGCACCGTGCGCTGGTTCACCAGCGGCACCCCAACCAGGACAACCGTACTGTCAGTAAAATACTGGGTGAGTGGTGGTACGCGCTGGGACCGAAAGAGAAGCAGAAGTACCATGATCTTGCCTTCCAGGTACAGTCATTTTTGTGAAATATTATCAAATACTGCATAAGAGAAAGATGTCATGCCAATATGTTGTCTTTCCTAAGACATAACGTGGAGTTAAAATGTGGTTTTGCATCTGAATTAGTGATAGACTGATATCAGTTTTACAGTGGTCGATATACAGTATGTACTGTAGATGCAAATATCTGGAAAGCAGTATGGTTGATGGCCAATTTAATGCCAGTATGCACTAGTATCATTCAAATTGTTTTAATGTTTTTTTCTCTCATGCTAATCAAGGCTCCTTTGTTTGATCAAAAATACACTAAAACAGTAATATTGTGAATTATTACAATTAAAATGTAGATTATTCCTTTGATGCAAAGCTGAATTTTCAGCATAATTACTTCAGTCTTCAGAGTGACATGATTCTTCAGAAATTATTCTAATATACTGATTTGGTGCTTAACAAATATTTCTTCTTCTTCTTCTTCTTCTTATTATTATTATCATCAACAATGTTAAAAACAGTTGTGCTGCTTAATATTTTTGTGTCAACAATAATACATTTTTATTCAGCTTTTTTGATGAATAAAATGTTCAAAAGAACAGCATTTTTTAAAAATAGATATCTAACAATATAAATTACTATTACTATCATTTTGGATAAATATAATGCATAATGAATACAATTTTTTAATCTGACCACAAACATTTAAACGGTAATGTAGTGTAGTGTTATCGAAATTAATCATTCATCAAATTTATTAAATAAAATGATCACAGATTTTAAAAAATATGCATTTACATTACTTTTGTGTAAAAATATTAGAAATCGGAATATGTGCATGATCCAAGAGTTGCACTGTTATTATTGATTAAGCCTGTTACTTTATTATTAACTTATCAGTAACTCCAAATACATTTATTTCATACTAACTATAGTTCAAATCTATTAACATATTTACTGACAAATCGCTCGAGACTTACTGATATAAAAATTATTCAACTTTATTTGGAGTACTATTTGTGCACAATGCACACTTATTAATATTAAGCCTAAAATATGTTTTAATGTCACTGTTGATGAGGATTGTATGATCTTGGAATAATATTGGTCTTTAAATGCAAGATATTTAAGGTGTACCTAAAGTATATTTGCAATAGTTCCACTTTAACACAATCCAATATTCTTCAGTATATCCTTAGTTGGACTTCAGCACTACTTCCGCACAATTAAAGTGCTTTAAGTACAAAATTAGTTGTTCCAGTTTAGCAGACTTTAAGTATACCAGTTTAGTATACCTAAAGTATAATTGCAGGGTATTTTAATTAAGTACATAAATATCTAAATGTATTTGTAGTATACTTGGCATGAAATAAATGTATTATAAATGCATTTTAGTATATTTATTTTTCACTAGGGTTTTGCTCTCTTTTAGGTGAAGGAGGCTCATTTCCGAGCTCACCCTGATTGGAAATGGTGTAACAAGGACAGAAGGAAGTCCCTGTCTGAGGGCCGGGGAACTCCAGGGGCCAAAGAAGCTCGAGAGCGCAGTGTATCTGAAAGCACAGGTCTGTGTGGGAGTTTGTTTATATGCGTGGGCGTTTGTTGGTCTTGTGAAACTATGAGTGTATAGTAGTGTGAAACACAACTGATGTTGAATTAACCTTCTTTGTTTCCCCAGAGGCCCATTCCACATCTCAGGGGGTAGACCACAAAGGAGCAGGACCCAGCTGGACTTCACCTCGGTCTGACGCTCACGGAGGATCAATGGGAGGGCAGCTTCAACGGCCTCGTGCCTTTTCCCAGAGCGCTGTGCATATTCTGGAGAGGAGGGAGAAGGAGAGAGTGCTGGAAAGCACGAGACTGTTTCATCCCCGTGCACCTGCTCACCCTCGACGACCGAGTGAGGATGTGACCAGTGATGAAGAGCCTATGGTGATCTGCGAGGAGGGGGATGATGATGTCATAGGTAAATTACGTGCATCATATCCACCTCATTTTGCAACACAAAAGTGAGCTATTTTCTGTGAATATTAAAAATAAGATGGATACATCTTTGTCAATATGATAAATAGCAGCAACCTTGAATGCCCTAGCAACCATCCAGAACTCCTTAGCGTCACTGTGGCTAGTTTTGCATATGCACCATTCGTAGTTCCTTCAGAAATGTAAAAACTGGTTACACTTTATTTTACGGTGTCCTTGTTACAGTGTAATTATACATTTAAGTATTGAGTAATATTAATTAACTCCATGTACTTACTACATGGCGACTCTGTGGTCCTCGTGCTTTTGGATCTATCAGCAGCATTTGACACTGTTGACCACTCTACTTTGATATCTAGACTAGAGGCTTGTGTGGGGATAAAAGGAACCGTCCTTAAGTGGTTTCAGTCATACCTCACTGACAGAAAATTCTTAGTCAAGTTAGGTAACTTTTCTTCTTCTGTTGCTCATTTAACCAGCGGTCTTCCTCAAGGCTCTATTTTGGCGCCCTCTCTTTTCTCCCTGTATATGCTTCCTCTGGGAACCATTCTAAGAAGACATGGGGTGTCTTTTCATTTTTACGCCGACGATACCCAAATTTATCTACCTATCAAGAGAAATGATCCCTCTGCTTTTACTTCTTTAATAAAATGCTTAGATGAAGTTAAATTTTGGCTAGCCCAAAATGTTCTATCCTTGAATGAAGATAAGACTGAGGTGATTGTTTTTGGGCCCTCTGATAATTCTCAGGCAACCAGCTTAGATCTGGGTAGTTTATCAGTGTTTAGATCTTCACGTGTACGGAACCTGGGAGTTTTGTTAGATGAGTCCTTAAACCTTGATAAACATATCTCCTCTGTAATAGGTTCTAGTTTTTATCAACTTCGCCTGTTATCAAAAATCAAACCTTTCTTAAATCATAAATCTTTAGAGATGGCTGTTCATGCTTTTATCACCTCACGCTTAGACTACTGCAACTCACTATACTGTGGTAGTTCTAAGTCATCAATCGATCGCCTTCAACTAGTTCAAAATGCTGCTGCCAGATTCCTTCATAGATACATATTTAGTGCTCACATCACTCCAATTCTGCGGACCCTTCATTGGCTGCCTATTAAATTCAGAATTGATTTTAAAATTATTTTATTTGTATATAAATTTTTAAATGATCTAGCCCCTATTTATGTATCTGAATTACTATACCCATATACTCCATCCAGACGCTTAAGATCCAGTGATCAGAATCTTCTTCTAGTCCCACAATCCAGACTCAAACGTAGAGGGGATCGAGCTTTTTCAGTGGTTGGGCCGCGGCTGTGGAATAGCCTCCCTTTAGAGATTAGACTTGCCCCTTCTCTGTCCACTTTTAAATCTCTTCTAAAAACATATCTGTTTTGTTTGGCTTACAAATAATTTTCTATTATGGTCTTTGCTTAGTCTTTTATGGGTTTATACTTCGTTTCTCTTGTGTTATTAATATATTTACTTATTTTATTATTAAGGCGAGACCCTGTTTAATTGTGTAGCTGTGCAGATTTTTATATTCTTTTTACTATTTTGAATTTCTGTACAGCACTTTGGTCAGCCGTGTGGCTGTTTTATACATGCTATATAAATAAACTGAAACTTGAAACTTGAAACTTACTATATGTCTAGGGTTAGGATTAGGGTTTGGCTTAGGGTAATTAATTGTTATTATACTAGTAAGTACATGTAATATGTATAACAAGGACACCTTAAAATAGTAATGAAAAGTAATGATCTGTCAAGCATTAACTATTGTATTAATGTTTATTTATGTAAGTTATTATAAAGTCTTGCCAAGAGAAAGCCTCACTTTTTATGCTAGAGGTCTGGATCTATTGAAAAAAACATAGGGTCTTATGAAATCCACTTTTTATCTGGATTCCATTTTTAATGGTTTACTTACATTTTAATGCGTAAGAAGGATAACAAATCAATTGAATTCATACAGTTTTAACAATTTAATAATTTATTCAAAATTGAACAATATTAGAGACCTATGAAATGTATTTTTTTTGTTTCCAAATTCCATTTTTAATAGTTTAATTAAATGTTAATAATCAAAAATTATAGCTAATCAATTGAATTCATAACCTTTTTATAATTGAATGATTTATTAAAAATGTAAATAATAGAGCCTTATAAAAAATGTTTTTTGTTTTTTTCTGAAATTGGGTGTTGCCTGTTTTAATTTTTCTGGATTCTGTGTTTTACAAACTTATCATTGAAGTGGTACAGTGGTAATTATTGAACAGTGCTAATCAAATAAATATGTAAAACCTTAACAATTTAATGTATCTTAAAATGTAATCAAATTAAATTTGAACAGTTCCTTTTATTTTTTTGGTAAACAAATTGCCGTACAACAGAGTGAAATGGTAGTGTAGTGGACGAAACTGCATCACTCATTTACACAGACATGCTGAACATGCAGACTTCATATTTAAATAGAGGCTTTTCATGGTTTAATATTCACAGACACTATTTTATATCAGGATTTGTGTACAGCCCTACTTTTGATTTATTGATCCAGATTTAGTCAAGTTCTGTGACATTCCGCATTATGCAATAAATTCCATCTCTATGACTGGATTCTGCATTTTGGAAAACATAAGACCCCAAAACCCCCTGATCTGTAGATAATGCTGTAATACGTGGAACGTACCCACCATCAGAAAATGATTATCCTTCAGCGATTCGGTTTTGATTTTACAAGTGTTTTGCGTTCCATTCTCATTTTCTCATTATTAGTCAGTCCTGACTGATTCTTGAGTCTGTGTCTCCCACGAGCTCTATGCTCTCTGATGCACCACCAGCATCCAAACATCATTAATTCATTTTGGAAAGGCAAAATCTCAGTCCCATGAGCTCTCAGCGCTCTCAGTCCCATGAGTGTGAGATCTGCAAGCCCTGGTCTCACAGCTAACGTGTGATTTCCCCCACAGAAGACTCGTTTGCAGACGGCTCCATTGACCTGAAGTGTAAAGAGAGAGTGACAGACAGCGATGATGAAAACGAGCATGCAGATGAAGCTGACAGCAAGGTAACACTTAATACATCACATGGGTAGTTGGCATGACATGTCAAGCAATATGTCCCACATTGCATCTGTTCGACTATTTTGAACTTTTTTTACACTTTTTTTGCATGCAGTTTTAGGTCATTTTTAAATGAATTCTGTACTACATGCAAACTCCAAATTCCTTTGGAAATGTGATTAAAAACAGTGACAAAAGCACACTTTCACATTACACAAATTATAAAATCTTGATGTTTTAAAAATGTCAATGTTATTCGCCTCCTAACCACATCCAGCTGTCATATGTCATCTAGAATAAAGTTAATGTTTATATTTAATTGATGAAAAGACCATCTCTCTTTGTTAAGAAATATATGCTTTAAATTAGATACACTTCATTACCATAACAACAGAAATGATATTTGCTCTCATCTGGTTATTATTTATAAAACCAGATTATTTCTGCATCTGTGTGTTTGGTTGTCTGGCAAGTAACTATTATTTCTTCAGGATTTTCTCGTGAGGTTTTCCACGCCAATGGATATACCCACAAGGCAGCAGATGTCTCTAAGCGTTCCGTCTCTTAGATGGTTCACTAAACAAATTGTTGGCCTTAAAGGGATAGTTCACCCAAAAATGAAAGTTCTGTCATTATTTACTCACCCTTGTGTCGTTATTTTAGTATAATTGAGATACTGTTATAGCTTTTATCAGTATTTTGAATTAGTTTTTAATTTTATATATTCCATTTTAATTTTATTTAGTTTTAGTAATGTTGTTGTGTTTATCAGTTATTTTTTTTTGTCTACAGTTTTAAATTTTTGTTTTAGTTATTGTAGTACATTAAGTTCAATTAAATGAAATGATGCCATGTGTACATATATATACAGTGGGTACGGAAAGTATTCAGACCCCCTTAAATTTTTCACTCTTTGTTATATTGCAGCCATTTGCTAAAATCATTTAAGTTAATCACACACACACACACACCATTTTTTCCTCCAAAAACAACAAAAATACATTAAAAGTAGTCCATGTGACTTTTGCGCTATATTCCACATTGAGCCTTTCTGTAGCTAAAACAGTAAAAAAGCATGACGCTCCCAGGGAATGCATGAACTTAAAAAAAATATAGTTTGAATGCAAAGTTGCTTTAGAAAAAAGTGTTGGCCAAATGCATAAATGTAATGTCAATGTAAAATCCAAGTGGTCTGAAGCCATACATGAACTTTGTGTAGAAAACTGAAGCTGTTTTTCACTTAAAATTGTATTCTGCATTCCACATATTTGAATTGTAATTTTATGTGCAGTAATGAAACACACACACTGACGCTGACATCAAATCCAGCATAAATGTGAATGAAATGATCAGATAATCAGAGTATAATAGTGATCTTATGCCACAAATGATCTTTTTCTCTTCAGCGCACCTTCCAACCAGTCCATTCCTCTTTGGCATTCTCTCCGACCGGCACAACTGGCAACAAAGACAACGAAGACGGGCGTGAAAAGAACCTGGAGAAGAAGGAGAAGAGAGGCATGGGTGGTGCAGAACTGGATAATGGGGGGCCCAAAGAAGGGAAAGGAGGAGGTGGAGGATGGCAGGTTCCGTTCCATGTTAATTCGGCCTCCGTCACTGGTATAAACGCCACTTTGCCGCACGATGCCGGGAGATATTCTTCGCAAGGCGCTGTCAGGATGGCCCCCACCGTGGTGACCAATGTTGTTCGTCCCATCACTAGCACCCCTATCCCCATCGCCAGCAAGCCAGCTGATGGGGGCATAGGCACCAAATGATAAGAAAATTACTGACAAATATGTTACTTGAAAAAAAGTAAAAAAAAGTTTGTCACTGATAACAAAAATGGGATGAAAAGGATTATGAAAATTATGGAATAAATAATTGTTATTTCTAAAATGATATGTCATTTCAGTCTAAGTGAAATTAATTACAGTTTTGAATATGGCATGATGAAACTAAATATCTACACTGAAAGGACTTTTTTGTCAAAAAACACAAACTGTCTAAAACTAAAATAATGGTGTAAAAATGAACACTTTTATACCATTTTATCAATTGTTCATCCTCTGATTTTAGTAATTAGGGTTAGGAGTTTATTTCTTTGACAGGAGTGTTAAGAGATCCAGATACATGTCTTACTTGGGAAAAGTCACTGTGTCTCAAATCTAACTTCTGCTGTGCTTTTGTTGCACAGGATCACATATGTCCAGTCAACTCCTGGAGTTGCAGCTCCTTTGCCATTGGGTTCAACACCTGCAGTCTCTTCCACCCACCAGACCCCATCATCTGCGGGTCCATCTTTTTTGCGATCTCCAGTGGCGACCCTTGGCTTCACTGCAATTGCCCCAGCCAGTCAGGCCTTGGTTCAACCTATTGTTGCAAGTGAGTGTTATAACTGAGAGTTCTTTCAACCATCAACACATATTTAACACTCCATGACAACCATCATCAAATTTCTACCACAGGTCAGCCACCTCTCCTGGCTCAATGCCCGCCCCCGAGTGGACTGGCACAACCTGCACAAGCCTCGACGGCCACTCGTCAACTTGTGACCACCATTTACCCCAGCGTCAGTTTAGCCAGAGGAGTTGTGTCAGTGACAGCCGTGCCACAAAGCACAGCAAGTTCCACATCAGTTCCAGCATCATCCTCAATGCCTCAAGAGAAGACCCCCTCAGCCGCGGCTGCGCAACCACACGCGCAGCTGCAGTCTCAGGTAAACATGCACATGGAAAATGAGAGAGGACCAGAATCTAGGAAGGAGACGGAGAAACAGAGAGACCTGGTGGTGTCAAAGGATGGACATCAGACGCCACCTAGTGGTTTGGAGGAATCGGTGCAGCACACACATAAAGGTAAATGTAACCTAATTCATTTCAGTTATAAATTTGGCTTTAAGTTAAGGTGTGTCCTTGTTACAGTGAAATTATACATTGAAATAATGAGTAATAATTAAAAACATGTACTTACTGTAAGGTCAGGATTAGGAATAGTGTTTGGTTTAGTTAGTTGCACAATTCACTGTTATTACTAAATGAAGTGCATGTAAAAAGAACAATGTAAAATAAATGTACATCAAAAATAATTTTTTTATTATATATATATATATATATATATATATATATATGCGTGTGTGTGTGTATATG